AGGTTTCTGACCTGATTATCTCAGTGGGTTGCCAACGAGAAGGATATAAGGTTAATTTTGTTCTGTTTTTTTGAGACAGGTATTCACTCCATCATCCAGCCTGGAGTGCAGTGGCATGATCATGGTTCACTGCAACCTCGACCTACTGGGCTCAAGCAATTCTCCCACATCAACCTCGCAAGTAGCTGCAACTACAGGCTCACACCACCATGCCTGGCTAATTTATTTTTATTTTTTGTAGAGACAGGATCTCCCTGTTTTGCCCAGGCTGATCTTGAGCCCCTTGAGTTCATGATCCTCTCACCTCAGCCTCCCAAAGTGCTGGGATTATAGGCGTGTGCTACCATGCCCAAAAGTTACAAATTATGTTCAGGAGATGTTAAAAAATCTGCCATAAGGAATCAAAACATGGGTGTGGGGTTCTGAAAAGAGGCCACAGCTCTAGATATTAATTTGAGCATCACCGTGTATGGTATACTGGTGAAAGCTGAAGCCACATGGCTGGATGAGGTGACCAAGCATGAATGGGGTCCAACTGAGAATCTAGGAATTCCAGGGTAAAGTTGAGAATAAACAGAGACAGAGAAATAACATTCAGAGAAGAAAAAGGAAAACAGGAGAGGCGTCATATGACTCTAAGAGGTACATATTTCAAAAAACGTGTAGTATGGTGCCAAATGATCATTAAAAGGTCAACTGGTATGAAGACTGTAAAGAGGCTACTTGGATTTGGAAACAGGGTAGTCACTGATTAACTTTCACTGGAGTGGGGAGTGGATAAAAAATAAATTGGGTTGAAGAGTAAATGGAAAATGTGAAAGAAGAGACAGTGAGTATAGATCACTGCTCAAAAAGTTTGGCAATAAAAGGAAGGGAGTGAGATATGTTAGCAGTTTGACAAGTAGGTTGAAAGAAGTATGCACATTTTGTGCATTATCTGTTTTATATGACTTGTGCCTAGAGACTTTGAGAACAAGTACTGCCTTCAGTATTATTATAGCATCTACCAGTTTATATAAAACAACAGCATTACTAAATATTTATTTAGAATGCAAAATATAATACCTCGTACAGGCCACTAAATTATACTTATATTCCTAGAATAAAAGAAGGAGCACTAGACTAAATCAATTAGTCATAAAATGCAAATCATTTATCTGCATGGGGTGACTGTTAAAAAGAGGCCATGCCCTATTATACAATTTGACAGGCTCTGTGAGCAACACTGGGGATGTTGTAAGATGTTACCTTAATTCCTTCACCCTGGGCTGCACAAGGACATACTCACCTCCATAGTAGAGTCCTGTAGCAGTGCACATCCGCCACTGTCCCTGATACATTCCTGCTCTGCTGGGGCTGCACATCTGGACGCTGACATCTGCAATCTCTTGGGGCTCTAGCGATCTCACCATCACCATGTTCACATGTCCAAATTGGTCTCCCCCGACATATTTAAGACAAACCCCTGGAGGCCAGGCCTCTGCCCCTGAGTTCAAGCAAAAGAAAAAAATGTTAGGCAATCAATGGTCCTATGCTGGGTGTAGTTTATTATGAAACTATGTAGAAGAGGCCTCTTTCTTTGTCTCACATACACACATAAACCTAACCACATACACCTGAGCCAAATTATTGTCTCACACAACTGATCAGAAGAATTATCAGAACCAACAACCTCTGACCAATAGTTTAACCCTATGAAGAAGCACATAAGGCAAACGCAAGGCAGTTCGTCAAGACAACATGTGTTTCAGGTGACCACAGGGAAGGCCACACATCACACTGAATCTGTAGAACCTAAGAATGATGTCCATGAAGAGCCATGGAGATGAAGCACAGGCCACGTTTAGGGAATATCTCTCTCTACTAAAAGGTAACACATGTCCATTTTCACAAACAAACTGATTGTTGCCAGTTTTTTGCACAGAAACAAGAGGATGAAACACAAGGAGTAATTTCAGTGGTAGTATTCTCATTTTAAAATTGCTTTTTGCCTGAGGTATGATTTTTCTTCTGGGGTCCCTAACTATAAAATACTCAAGAGCTCAAGAGACCACATGAATAGAAAAGGCAGTAAAAGTTTAGACCTCATGTGGTGGTAAAATGTAAACAATGGGGTGATCTCCCTGATAACATGAATGATGAATGAACTGTGGTCACAGGAACAATGACACCAGTGGAGGTACTGGGAATGGCAACACAGAGACATGGTTTTGGTAGAAATAATTTTCCTCCTTCGGAAATGTCAATGATCTTATTTGGTACCTATTCATTTTTTTCCTTTTTTTTTCCTTTGAGACAGAGTCTCACTCTGTCACCCAGGCTTGAGTGCAGGGTGCAATCTCCGCTCACTGCAACCTCCGTCTCCTGGGCTCAGACAATTCTGCCTCAGCCTCCTGTGTAGCTGGGATTACAGGCATGTACCACCACGCTCAGCTAATTTTTGTATTTTTAGCAGTTTCACCATGTTGCCCAGGCTGGTCTTGAACTCCTGACCTCAGGTGATCTGCTCACCTCAGCCTCCCAAAGTGCTCGGATTACAGGCGTGAGCCACGGCACACAGCCAGTACCTACTCTTGTGTACCTATTTTCATGTGACTGATTCATGACCAATCTATGTTTTGACTAGTTCTCACTAGTCAAGCAGTATAGGTAGCCACACAGTGACTAGATGTGATCTTTCCTGTAAAGTCTCTCCAATATGCAGCAGTTCATATACTCCTTTTTAACTGTAGACAGAAACCTCATCTTTTTTTGGAATATATATATTCATTTAAAAAATAAATCACTGTGAACAACTGAACATGGTAGGATTCTCAGAACAGAGGGTGCTTGTAATTTCTCTCCTACCAGTACTCTAAGCTGCCTCAGTTCCTTGCTCTGGAAGAGCCTAGTTTTGACATACCTAATGGCTCACTACCGGAAAGGAACCAGACAGAGAAAGGCAACCAGAGTTCTACTGCTGAGATCTCAGCTTCATTATGCATGGCACACTCTATGCTCCTCGAGTCTTAAAGGGTACCAGCTAAAGCAGTGGCCACTATATTTTAGCATACCTTCTTTTAAAAAAAATCTGCCAACAAAATGCCCTAACTTAACCCTATAAAGGGCAACCACTGCTGGTGGAAAGGTTGTGGATGAGATACTGACAATCCATGCAATTTATCTTTTTCATTTCTAAGGTGTGGCAAAAGCACATTTGACTTACAATAAGCAGAATAGTAGTTGACACGAAGTACCTCAGAAAATGTCAGTCTCTTTAAAGACCAAGATCCAAGAGAAAAATTATACTACTATCATGGGGCTGAATTCATAGTTATTCTTTAAGATACACAGATACACACACTTACACATACACCTGCAACAAGATAATGTCTGTTTATATGAAAATCCAAGAATGCGCCTGTATTTTGAACTTAGAAGAAAATAAGGTAAACCAAGACGGTGTGAAAAAGACTTAGCTCTCCTGGGCAGACAACTATAGCAGCTGAGGTGATTGGGTCATCTTAGCTGTGCAAAAGGAGTGCTGCCATATTCCAGAGAAACTGAGTTAGTCGCTAAAACATTAAATGGGTAACATTAAACATTAGCATTTGGCTAGGGTCCTGCCCTTCTTGGTACTCCAGATAACTAAATCCTCAGTGGAGTATTAAAAGAGCCTCTGGGAAAAAAACTGGAAGACTTATCTACCAACAACTCTTAAGTGTTCACTGGCTATGAAATGAAAAACCAATCATCTGTCTTCTGAGTGTTATCAATGATACATATAGTTCTTACAGCCACAACTATCAGGTCAAATAACTCTCAAAAGGTACTGATATAGAAGGAAGGGAAATACCAGTGAGTTGTCTGGACTATACTAAGCATACCTGAAATCTGAATTTGAGAAATATAATAGAACTGGGCTCCAAATTAAGTCTCAGTTGCAAACTGGATTAATGGGGGCTAGATTTCTATCTAGAAGAAAAGAAACACTAATCTGTGTTTTATGACGTTCCTAGTTAAGTATCACAATCAATTATATAATTAAGGCTGTAATCCTCCAGATATAAAATATCACTTTATTTTTTAAAATAAAAAGTAAAAACAAAAACAAACAAAAAAAGCCTGTCATGTTACAATTTTGAGATGGTAGCGAGCATCACAAAAATCAAAAGTCCAACAGTCCCAGAAATCCTGGGACTTACTAAGTATATACAATTACAGAAATAGTCTGGAGACAGTAAGGAATATCCAAATAGCAATGCAGAAGACAAACCTTAATGATGATCTCCTTTTTAACCCTTATAAGTGTGGACACTGCATTTCATATTAAGCTCCATGAAAGCAGAAACCTTCATCAATCTTGTGACCATTTCTCCCTTGTACCTAATAAAGTGACTGGAACATAATAAAATGTGTTGAATGAAAGAAGCGAAATTATCTTCTCTAGAATCATATGAAGAAAAAGGTAGAAAGCTAACTATTTTATGGCACTAAAAGAAAAATGGGGGAACTAATTGTTCTTTCTCAAGTTCTCTTCCCATCCCTTTATATTCACTTCTATGAAGTTCAAAAAATAAAGACAACTCTGGTTCAATATGCCCAAGATACCCTCTAATATGACAGTCGCAACTATTTCACCAAAGTCAGAGAAACACTAGGGTTATCATAACATGCTCAGCTTAATATTCACTACAATTGTACAACAGAGCATGGTAGCATAATAACTGAGAAGCTTTAGGTACTAGAGTAAAGGGAATTCTGTCTACTCAGATCTTTGGAGGGAGAGCTTCACATTTTCACTTTAACTCCCAAGGTTTCCTGCTCAGGTTTACTAAGTTTCCAATATTTCTACAGTGACAGAAGCCTGAATCCCAGAATTCTGCATCTATGTTATTAAATGTCTCAGTTCTGTTTTTGCATGTCTAAATCTAGGAACTTAAAAAATACTAGGAGTTTAATTTTACTTATTTATTTTTATTCATTTATTTTTGAGACAGAGTCTCACTCTGCTGCCCAGGCTGGAGTGTAGTAGTGCCGTCTCGGCTCACTGCAACCTCCACCTCCCAAGTTCATGCAATTCTCCTGCCTCAGCCTCCCAAGTAGCTTGGATTACAGGCACCTGCCACCATGCCTGGTTAATTTTTTTGTATTTTTAGTAGAAATGGGGTTTCACCATGTGGGCCAGGCTGGTCTTGAACTCCTGACCTCAGGTGATCCACCTGCCTCAGCTTCCCAAAGTAATGGGATTATAGAGCTGGGCCACCACACCTGGCCAGCAGTTTAATTTTAAACAGTGTGTGACATCTTGCCTTCTTCGAGAAAGCTATTCAGACAACTACATTTGGTTCCTATCAATCTCATCTGTTGCATATTTGAATGCCCAGCATGCCTAAAACATGACAAGACAAAAGTACCATGAAAATTGTTATTTATGTAGCTCTTTCAGTGAGTGCTTATTTCTTAGGGAGGTTGTGAATGAGATTAAGACAGCCAGAGGAGAAACAGCCAAGGCCTGCCCTACTTTTATGTTACTACTATATTCACAGAAAGAACTCAGGCCAGATTAGGATGATGCCAAAGAACTTGTGCACATGCATGTTCTTCCTCTCTTGAATAACATGCCTGTTACTCAGTTCTGGGTGGACAGATTCTCCTTAACCAAATGGAAAACATCCAATTTATAGATATAAAACTACTCTACAGCTGAGTGGACAACTTCCAGAAGAAAAGAAAACCTATTTATGCAAAGCACCTCAAAAGATAAAATCTCTAGCAACTGCTACCTAACCTTTCAAGACCTGTTCAGGCACAAGAATGCCCTTTTACAGGAGGAAAGAGATTCAGAGGCTGCTTTAAACTGAAGTTACAAAGCAAAAGCAGAAGGGAAAAGCAGTCAGGCCCACCAATTTTGTAAGTCAACGTAAAAGGTAGGCTTTGGGGGTTCTGATTTGACATTCTAACTATTACATATCAACCTCCCCAAGCTCCCCATTAACCCAAGTAACAGTCTAGTAAGTAAGCAGATATATCAAGAGGCTTTTTTGAAATATAAAATGGTTAGTCTGCCACAAGATGGTATGTAAAACATTTCAACAGCACTAACAACTTTCAGTATTTAAAAACACTGAAGAGCTCACAGAAAGCCAGGCCATTTTCACTGTTTTCACTATAAGTAAACAAGGTACTGGCTTCACTTTAAAATAAACAAATAAAACTTTTGAATAAGTCATACTTTCCAAACAAACTTCATTTACTTAAAAAAGAAAAAAATCTCATGGGTAGGCTCCGATAGCTTTTTTTTTGAGACAGAGTCTGGCTCTGTTGCCCAGGCTGGAGTGTAGTGGCGCAATCTTGGCTCACTGCTGCAACCTCTGCTTCCCAGGTTCAAGTGATTCTTGTGCCTCAGCCTCCTAAGTAGCTGGGACTACAGGTGTGCAACACCATGCCTAGCTAATATCTTGTATTTTTAGTACAGACGTGATTTTGCCGTGTTGGTCAGGCTGGTCTTGAACTCTTGACCTCAAGTGATCTACCCACCTTCGCCTCCCAAAGTGCTGGGATTACAGGCTTGAGCCACTGCACCCAGCCCTCCAAAAGGATTTTTAATCAGTAATACAACAGGTTTTTAATTCAGAATAGAAACATGATGAATAAAAGCTATTATAAAATAAATTGTTGGTATTTTTAAAAGCAGGCAAAATTAAGCAAAGTGAGAAAGAAATTAGGCAAAGTAAAGTAAATTAGACTTTGAACAAGAATTTCAAGACAAATAGAAAATATGGCTATTTTCCTCTGTTACCATGTACCTCCCAAACTACCACTGTTACAACTAAAAAGGAAAGAGAGAGAATGAAAATTTGACAAAGTCACAGGAGTCCTGAGTCATCTATAACATCGGGTAAGTCTAGATTATGTGTTTGGTCAATGACACACTGAAATTTCCTCCAAAGGAGAGTTATTTCTAAATAAGCCAAAAAAACTAAGAATAACAATTCAATTTGGTACATTCTTACACAAAAGGCTAGTCTAGCCAGTCTCTCCCCATCATAAAGAACCGAATTGGAAAGAATTGAAAAGTAAACCAAGTCAATAAAAGGTCACTTTTACAGGTTTATTTGAGTCTCCAGAGTTTTAAATTATCTCATGTCAAATTAACTTGCTAGACAGGGCACCCCCACAATCACATATTTTTAGTTAAATACTAACTCTTTTGCCTAGTTTTCCATCTCTCAGAATTTGCCTAGAAGTTCTCATTAATAATAAGAAAGTTAGAATACCCCCAGCCAGTCAACGTAAATTATCATTAGATGTGACAAGAAATACTAAACCCAATCCCTGCCCCCAAAAGTCATTAGAAAATAATTTAAGGCCAGGTGCAGTGGCTCATGCCTATAATCTCAGCATTTTAGGAGGCCAAAGCAGGAGGATCGTGTGAGCCCAGGAGTTTGAGAACAGCCTGGGCAACATAATGAAACCCCATTTCTACAAAAAATTTAAAAAATTAGCCAGGCATAGTGCAGTGGCTCACACTTGTAATCCCAACTACTCAGGAGGCCAAGGCAAGAGGATCACTTGAGCCCAGGAGGCCAAGATTGCACAACTGCACCCCCAGCCTGAGTGACAGAGTGACACCTGGTCTTGAAAAAAAAATTTAGACACATATATAGACACTATTTTCAAAGAACTATGGTTAACTTATTTCCTTTTTTTAAATTAATTTATGTAAAATTAAAAAAATATATATGGAACGCTTCACGAATTTGTGTGTCATTCTTGCACAGAGGCCATACTAATCTCTGTATCATTCCAATTTTAGTATATGTGCTGCCGAAGGGAGCGCTCGTTTTTTATTATTATTATTTTTTGAGACAGAGTCTCACTCTATGGCCCAGGCTGGAGCGCAAAGGCATGATTTCAGCTCACTGAAACCTCCACCTCCTGGGTTCAGGCAATTCTCCCGCCTCAGCCTCCCAAGTAGCTGGGATTAAAGAAGCCCACCACCATACCCTGCTAATTTTTGTAATTTTACATGGGGTTTCATCATGTTGGCCTAACTAGTCTTGAACTCCCGACCTCAAGTGATCCCCCAACCTTGGTCTCCCAAAGTGCTGTGATTATAAGCGTGAGACAAGAAAACCAGCCTATGGTTAACTTATTTCTAGTTTGTCTTAAAAAGAGGCTGCAGTACATCAAAACAATGTTTTTCTTATATATATTATTTTTATTTTTAATTCTTTTTTATTTTTCAGTGTTTGTAGAGACAGGATCTCATTACGTTGCTAAAGCTGGTCTTAAACTCCTGGGCTCAAGTGATCCTCCAGCTTTGACTTGTAAAAGTGCTGGGAGGCCATGTGCAGTGTACACACATGTAATCTCGGCACTTTGGGAGACCGAGGTGGGAGGATCACTTGAGCCCAAGAGTTCAAGATTAGCCTGGGCAACACAGGAAGTCCCCATCCCCACAATTAAAAAATTAGCTGACACAGTGGTGCATGTCTGTGGTCCCAACTACTTGGAAGGCTGAGGCAGGAGGAACGCCTGAGCCCAGGCGGTCAAGGCTGTAGTGAACCATGATCACACCACTGCACTCCAGCTTGGGCAACAGAGCAAGATGCTGTCTCAAAAAAAAAAAAGTGCTGGGATTCTGTGTGTGAACCAACACACCCAGCCTGTATTCTTTTTCTTAAACCAATAATTTCTCTGTCTCCTATTCTGAGCAAATTCCCATATTTCCTACCCTATTTTTCAAAGTAGCATTAATGACTCAGATAAATTTCAGAGAGAATCATCCTTGTGGCTGTAAAAATAAATAAATAAATAAAATGAGCTTTCAAAAGAACAGATGCTCGCAGCTCTTTCCAACTACCTTGTTCTATTCAAGGATATACCTCCCTCTAGCCTGCTGGAAATGACTGGAAGATTAATTAGAGCAGAAATAAAGTGATGAAGTAAAACTGTACAGGTGGAGACAATACTCCATCATACACAAGTCCAGTTCCTAGTACCAAACCAATATTGGATTGTGTTTAGATGCCATTAAGTCATAGGTGGCTTAGAGGCATGAGACATAAATTCTTCCCCCTACTTTAGAGCAGGAGACACTTCACTAATGTTTGGTCATCACACCAGGACAAGAAAATGCTACATATCATGTGTAAGAAAAAGCTCCCAGTTACACAGTCATATATATAAGCTAAAACATCAGTATTAAGAAAACGAAAACTAGGCAAGGGAAAATTGCCCATTTTGTACTTACCAGAATTCTGGATCCGCCATGTTTTCACAAACTGAGTATCAGGAGGTATTGACTCCCCTTCTCCTATGGTGACATCTTCAACAAAGGACATAGAGGGCACACTGATGTTTGGGCTCTCAAAGTCATAATAGGCGCCAATTGCTGCTTGTAGGTTCCTACAAAAAAAAAAAAAAAAGAGAAAAGGCAAAAGACTTCAGTACTATCCAGATGATATTATTCTAATTGTTAAACAAAAGGAAAAATCCTGTTTCTTAGGGTTTGTCATAGAACCTGAGGCTCCTGGTGTACAAGTCTTTAAAGCCTTGTATTCTGGCTGAGGAACAATAGGAAAAATACCAGGACCAACAAATTTGTGTATCACTTTCTCCCCACATAGAAAGTAACAAACATTACTAACATCAGCAACAGTATGAGGAAATCTCCCTTGTTACCCATAGGAAATGGGTAAAGAAATCAATTAAAAGAGCACAGTATAACTATGGAATTCAAAGAAGCACTACTTTTTGTTTTGTATTATTATTTTTTAATATTAAAAAAAAAAAGAGAGAGAGAGAGGTTTTGCCATGTTGCCCAGGCTAATCTTGAACTCCTGAGCTCAACTGATCCACCCACCTCAGCCTCCCAAAGTGCTAGGATTAATGGCATGAGCCACTGTGCCCAACCAGGAGCTCTACTTTTTAAAATAAAATAATGCATGCATATCATTTGAAAAGTTTCACACAAAGAAAACCATATTATCTTTTTCCCTCAACACACACAGACATAACTGTTCATATTACTTTCTTTTTTTTTTTTAATTTTTTTTTTTTTTTTTTAAGATGGGGTTTCGCCATGTTGGTCAGGCTGGTCTTGAACTCCCGACCTCAGGTGATCCGCCCGCCTTGGCCTCCAAAGTGCTTGGATTACAGGCATGAGCCACCACGCCTGGCCATATTACTTTCTTAAATATCCTTCCAGAACTTTCTTACACACAGTCAAGCAAGCATGATATACCATCTTGTTTTCCTCCTTTTTTATACAAAAGGTAGCATAATATACAATGCCCTTTGCTTCATTCTCTTATACTCTATCTTGAAGACATCCCTGTGTTAGCACATAAAGAGGTTCCTCACTGTTTTTTACAGCTGTAACTACTATACAGATGGATTATCATTTAACCAGTCGACTTTTGAATTAGTTTCCAATCATTAACTCTTCCATAAATAAGCTTAAGCACACACAGTTTTTTATACACGCAAGTGCATTTGTGAGATAAAGTCCTATTAAGTGATATGGCTTGGTCAGAGTTCGTGGTTTTAATAAATATATCCAAACTTCCCTCAATAAAAGTTGTACACTAATGCTTCCACCAAGAATGTAAGAGTGTGCCTATTTTCCCCACTTGCTCATCAGTGGTTTTTCTCTAACATTTTGGATGTCTCCCATTAATAGGTTCAAAAAACAGTATCTCAGTGAGATCTTGAGAGGTTGAGTACCTTCACGTTTAAGAGGCACTTGTAGTTTCTTTTTTGGAAGTATCATTTGGTAAATGTTGGTGTTCTTTTTAATTACTCATAAATCCCCTTTCATCAGAAGGAACTACCAAGCACATAAACCAGAGTTTCCAAATGAACAGAAGCGCGTGATTGTCAGCTTGGCTGATCAGTGCCAGAAACCAAGGGCCACTAAAGCGTTTCAGTAAGCTGTGTTCATTACAGAGATCAAGGAAATTGTTGGTAATTACATTAACTGCTTCTCTTCTGGTCTTACTCAAACGAATGACATCATCCCCACTTCCCACACTATACAACAATCCAAACTGCATGTTTCTAAACATAATCCAACCATAAACCAATGAATTCACAGAGCTGTTTTTAATTATACATAAACATAGCATGAAACAAGCTCTGACAGTACACAACTGATCAACAGAAATGCTAGTAACAGCAAATAATTTTCTGCTGGGGGCCTGCCTGCTCCTCCAGGTGCTTGCAGCTGCCGGAAAGGAAGGCTATATTTAGAGCAGGTACCTGAGGTCAAGCCTCATGCAATGGTGGCCTGACATTATTAGTCAGTAATGACTGGAATTACAATACCAATCGCCTGCCTATGTATGGTATGTGTGCTTGATAACATTTACATATAGAGAGCTGGGCTGGGGCCAAACTAGATCTCTTTGCTTGACTCTTCAATACAAAGGCTTGGACTTTTAGTCTTTTCAGCAGTTTCCTATCTAGCTCACAGAGATCTTAAGTGAAGGATGTTTGTGGCTGGTCAAACTCGGAGAAGTCTAGCCCTTACCATCCACAAACAGGCTTAGAAGTACATCTGGAATTAGCATTATACTTAGGGATCAGGGATAATATGGGAGAAAAATAAGCCTAGTTTGCAATTTGCTCTTTTGAAAACATTTTGGAAAAGCTGTATGTCTACCTTTTTGAAAAGAGAATATTTTTTGCATCAGGTCTTCAACAAGTAGCCTGCTAAATTGTTTTCTGTTCACTTGGCTTTAAAATATGTTTGGGAGTGAAGAAACTATTTGTGCACTCGGGACAATTGCCAATTCTCATCCCCAGCCTGTGTCATATTTCACCCCTTGGCTCTGCTATCAGGACAGGACTTCAAGACCACTGCAGTAGGAAAACTAGTAAGTGGAAAAGTCAAGCTACCCAATTTAAGCAGATCCATTCCTATCCTCAAATATCCTTTCACACATTTCCAACTTACCCTACAGTCAAAGCTTATTTGTATGTGTATTATACAGGTAATTTAGCCAGACAAAGATTAAGAAACATTTTAAATCCCAAACTGAAACTGAAAGCAGCGAACTGGAATCCTGGCAGGAAGCTGGAGAAGAGAATGACAAAGCAAATTCATTTCCCAAGGACAAGGCAGAAAGTGGACTTTAGCCCAAGTGATCTAACCCATCAAGCAGGTACACAGCTATAAATGTGGGGTACACAGCTTCTCAGAGTTCAGAGCATTTAAATTAGTGGCCCACTAGGCTGAGCAACAGCAAGCATAGACCAAACAGCTCCAATTCAGTGTCAGAAAGCAGACATGACAGCAGGTATTCTTGTTCAAAACAACATACTCAGCTATTATTAGCCAAAAAGAAATTCTTCATGAAATGGAGCTGGCTGAAGTGATGGGAAAAGAAAAACATTGACCCAGCATTTAGTGTAATCTAAAAGTTTAAACTTCCAGATTCCTTCAGTGTTTCTGCTCAAAAAAGTTTTAAATCTAATTTTAGATGGTTAAAAGTACCCTGAAGAACAAATGGAGGCAATGTAACAGTGAAAACAAGCACAGGTTAAGGTGGATGGTGGTGCCAGGTGCAGTGGCTCACGCCTGTAATCCCAGCACTTTGGTAGGCCAAGGCGGGTGGATCACTTGAGGTCAGGAGTTTGAGACCAGCCTGGCCAACATGGTGAAATCCCGTCTTTACAAAAAATACAAAAATTAGCTGGGCATGGTGCATGCCTGTAATCCCAGCTATTTGGGTGGATGAGACAGGAGAATCACTTGAACCCAGGAGACGGAGGTTGCAATGAGCTGAAATTATGCCACTGCACTCACTCCAGCCTGGGCAACAGAGTGAAACTCTGTCTCAAAAAAAAAAAAGATGGATGGTGATTATAGTTGCACATTGCCAATATAGCTAATGCCACAGAATTGCATACTTTAAATGGTTAAAATGGTAAATTTTATGTCATGAAGATTTTACCACAATTAAATAATTTTTTTCAAAGGGTATGGTCTTTAGGCCGGGTGCAATGGCTCACACCTATAATCCCAGCACTTTGGGAGGCCAAGGCAGGCAGATGGCCTGAGGTCAGGAGTTCAAGACCAGCCTGGCTAACATGGGGAAACCTTGTCTCTACTAAAAATACAAAAATTAGTTGGGTGTGGTGGTGGGCGCCTATAATCCCAGGTACTCAGGAGACTGAGGCAGGAGAATCACTTTTACCTCAGAAGGAAGAGGTTGCAGTGAGCTGAGTCCGCACCACTGCACTCCAGCCTGGGCCACAGGGCGAGACTTCATCTCAAAAAAAACAAACAAACAAAAAAAAAACAGTGTGATCTTTAGAGTCAGCTCCAATCCTTGGCTGTGGGGGCTTTGAGCAAGCAGCTAAGCCTCTCCATCAGTTTTACTCATCTGTAAAACTGAGTTGATACCACCTATCTCATTATAAGGTTGGCTGTGAAGGCTGCTGAGGCAATGTATGCAATTGTCCTAGGTTGGCAGTCATTCATTCAACAAATATTTAATGAATAAGCATTTATCCTTATGCTAGGCACCTGGCCTGAAGCATTGGGGATACAGCAAATTGCAAGACAGGCATGGCCTCTGCCTTCAGTGTTTATAGTCTATAGCCAACCAGGGACTTTCAAACAAAGGTAATTCCAAATGCCTCTCACTCAGAGGCTATGGGCCCAAAGCAGCTTTTCCTGCTTAGGGTGAAAGATGGGCTTGGTACACAGCATAGTTTCAACTACACTGACAATGAAGTTAACCTGAACTGGAGAAGAATTTGGTGACACTGACATGTTTCCTAATGAAATACAACTTTGTTCAATCTTCATTTTATAGTTGAGGCTACTGAGGCACTGACAGGTGAGGTAATTTGCCCTAGGCTAGGCAATTAATAGAATTCAGAGCCACACCTATTCAAAAGTTTTAACTTACCCAGAATTTTCCAATTATATAACACTCTGAACATCTGATTTTCTTAACATACTAATTACCATTATGAATTCTATAAGTGAGCTGTAATCCCCATTAAACTGAATTCTTTAAAGAATTAATCTTGCAGCAGGGCAAGGTGGCTCACGCCTATAATCCCAGCACTTTGGGAGGCCAAGGCAGGCAGATCACCTGAAGTTGGGAGTTTGAGGCCAGCCTGACCAACATGGAGAAACCCCGTCTCTACTAAAAAATATAAAACTTAGCCAGGCGTGGTGACACATGCCTGTAATCCCAGACTCGGGAGGCTGAGGTAGGAGAATCGCTTGAACCCAGGAAGTGGAGGTTGCAGTGAGGCGAGATTGCACCACTGCACTCCAGTCTGGGCAACAGGAGCAAAGCTCCAACTCAAAAAAAAAAATCTTGCATATATTCACAAACATAGAACATTTATTTTTGTAATATATATACATGCATAAGGCAGTCTTATGAAGAAAAACCATCTACATACTTATATATGGCCAGAAACATCATCCAAAAATATGACAGTAGAAAACAGTTAAGAAAACCAGGCCGGGCGTGGTGGCTCATGCCTATAATAATCCCAGCACTTTGGGAGGCACAGAGGCAGATGGATCACTTCAGCCCAGAAGTTTGAGACCAGCCTAGGTAACATGGCAAAACCCCATCTCTACAAAGAAATACAAAAATCAGCCAGGCATGGTGGCATACACCTGTAGTCCCAGCCACTCAGGGGGCTGAAGACTCAATCCCGGGACGTTGAGGCTGCAATGAGCTGAGATCGCACCACTGCACTCCAGCCTGGGCAACAGAGTAAGATCTTGTCATTAAGAAAAAAAAGAAAAAGAAATAAAGAAAGAATGCCATTAGCTCAGATTCTCAAGGAAAAAGAAAAAATAGATACCTTTTTTTTCCATTCTCTGAATTGCATTCAAAAGAATGCAAATTATTTATGAGAAAAAGAAAACTACCAGCCTTATTTGGACATAAATTTAAATGGGAAACAGAATAATGAACCCATCTTATCAGGCATGAACAGTAGCATCTTAGGGCTTCAAGAGACAGTTATCCTGAACCACAGGTTTTCCTCACCTGGGGTATGCCAATAATACGGCTACTAAAGGCATGTACCCACCAAGAATCACGAAGACCTTACTATCTCTGAATGACCAAAAAGGAATTTGGCCAGAAAAAGGCTCAGCAAAATAGATGTTCTTAACCAGGGCCTTCCAACATCAATGTGACAGGAATCTAACATGGAATACTAAAAAGAGGGGCCAAACATTACATACCTATAACTACTATGAATTTTGAAGCCTGGAAAGAAACTAAGACTTTCACTGAAACAGAAAGATGAATGCAAATAGAGAATTCAAGTTGGGCTAAAGACAACTGTCAATACTGTCAACCTAAAAATGTACTCATGGATACTCTTTAATACGTGAAGACAACTAGAAAAAATAATTTGTGGAAAATTACATTCAGAGGAGGGACCAAGTTAATATCAACATTTTACTCACTTCTTAGAGCCCTATGGAGTCTAAAATTATTTCTCCTCTCTTCTTTTCCTGGCTATTTATTGATCCATCAATTTTATTACTTTTTAGAACTGGTCCTTATAAGTGTCTTCAGCAGCTAAACCATGTTCCAAGTAGAAAATAAAAAATAAGTACTCTGCCACAAAAAAGAAGGAAGTGGTAGCATTGTTTTATTATTGTATTAGGTAATAATAGCACATAGTTATGTATGAGAATATCCTTGTTTTTAAAAGTTACATGCAGAAGCATTTAAGGATCAAGGGTCACATAATGTCTACAACTCTCAAATGGTTTTTTAAAAATCCTATATAAGGAAAGAAAATATGACAAAAATGTTAATCATGTGGAATCTAGGTGGTAGGCACAAGGCTATACACGCTACAATTCTTCAAAATGTTCTTTAAGGGCTGGGCACAGTGGCTCATGGAGGTGAGGGTATCCAGAAATTTGGAATTGGAACCGAGAAAGTTTCTCTCATAGTACCTGGTCTATAAATTACACATTTGAGAGCTCTGGACAGTCATGGCTCTCTTCAACAGAGATAAAACACCCCTGCAAACATATAGATAAAATACACAGAGAAAGAAACCTAAAGGTATTTCAAGTCCTTGAGTCTAGCTGTTCCTGAAACACAAACACATTTCTGTCCTTGGGTTCTGTGTAACATAACAATATCTATTCTTAAATACACCCTTTTATCATTATCTAGTTTGAAGTTTGTTACTTTCAACATAATAGGTCCAAATTAGTTCAAAATTGTATAATGTCTTGTAGGGTGAGTTTGAGTGGAAGACGCAAAGCCAATTGAAAGACACAGAAGAAAAGCTGGAGCACTAAGTTAAAACTTATCAGATCTAGCAATTCCACTTCTCAGTATCTAAGAGAACTAAAAGCAGTTCTAAAAAAGAATATGCATATTCAGAGTAGTATTATTCATAATAGTCAAATGGTGAAAGCAACCCATGTGTCCACTGACCAATGAACAGATAAACAATATGTAGCTTATATATGTAATGGTATATTATTTAGCTTAAAAAAGTAAGAGAACTCTGAAACATGCAACATTATAGATGAATCTTAAGGATTTTATGCTAAGTGAAATAGGACTGTCACAAAGGTCAAATAATTATATGGAAAGTGGGCAGTTGTTTAATGAGCACATAGCTTCTGTTTTGCAAAATGAAAGAATCTTAGAGATTGGTTGCAACATGATGTGAATACACTCAACACTCTACAGAATGGTACACTTAAAAATGGTTAAGACGGGTAGGGCATGGTGGCTCATGCCTGGAATCCCAGCACTTTGGGAGGCCAAGGTGGAAGGATTGCTTGAGCCCAAGACTGGTCCAGCCTGGGCAACATAGTGTGATGTCATCTCTATAAAATTTTTTTTTAAATTAAAAATTAGCCAGGCTAGCACTACACAGGGTGGTGTGCACCTATAGTCACAGCTACTTGGGAGACTGCAGTGGGAGGATCCCTTGAGCCCAGGAGTTCAAGGCTACAGTGATCCCTAATCAGGCTACTACACTCCAGCTGGGGTGACAGAGTGAGATCCCGTCTCAAAAAAAAAAAAAAAAATAAGATGGGAAATGTAAAGTATATTTTACCACTAAAGGACCAGGAATGATGGCTTATGCCTGGAATCCCAGCACTTTGGGAGGCTGACGCAAGAGGAACAGTTGATGCCAGGAGTTCAAGACCAGTCTGGGAAAAAAGTGAAGCTGTCTCTACAAAAAATAATTTTTCTTTTTGAAAAATTATCCAGGTATGATGGCCTGTGCCTATAGTCCCAGCTACTCAGAAGGCTGTTATCATACCACTATATCCCTGTCTGGGTGACAGAATGAGACACTGTCTCAAAAAAGAAAATGAAATCTGAATTTATTCCTAAAATGAAAGAAGAGCACCTAAAGGTTTCTAAAATTTTTGTCTTTAAAATTTTAAACTTAGGCTGGGTGCAGTGGCTCAGCACTTTGGGAGGCTGAGGTGGGTGGATCACCTGAGGTCAAGAGTTCAAGACCAGCCTGGGCAACATGGCAAAACCCTGTCTCTACAAAAAATACAAAAATTAGCTGGGTATGGTGGCAAACACCTGTAATCCTAGCTACTCAGGAGGCTGAAGCAGGAGAATTGCTTGAACCCAGGAGATGGAGGTTGCAGTGAGCCAAGATTGCACCACTATACGCCAGCCTGTCAACAGAGCAAGACTCCATCTCAAAAAAAAAAAGAAGAAAGAAAGAAAGAAAAAGAAAGAAACAAAAATTTTAAACTTAAAAAACAAAAAAGAGAGAGAGACAGGGTCTCACTATGTTGCCCAGACTGGTTTTGAACTCCTGCGGCTCAAGTAATCCTCCTGCCTCGGCCTCCCAACACGCTGGGATTAATAGGTATGAGCCACCCCATCCAGCCAAGGTCTCTTTAAAAAGCAATTTTACGAAGGTATAATTTATGTAGCATAAAATCCACGCATTTCAATTGTACAATTCAATGATTTTTAGTAAATTTACAGAACTGTACAACCATGAACATGTTTAGAATATCATATTTCAGAACACTTTCATCATCCTACTAATGTCCCAGTCCCTGGAACCTATGAATATGTTAAGTTACATGGCAAAGAGTAATTAAGGTTGTTAATCAGCTGACCTTAAAATAGGGAGATTATCCAAAATTATCCAGATGAAACCAGTGCAATCACTTCCTTAAGAGTGTAAGAGGGAATTTAAAGAGAGAACTGAGAAACAGCAGTGTGAGGACTCAGCTTTCAAGGAGAAACAGGGCCATGAGCTAACGAATGCCTGTGGCCTCTGGAAACAGGAAAAGGCAAGAAAAGAGTCTTCAAAAGGAGCAGAGTGCTGATGATGCCGTGATCTTACTGCAGAGCCCATTTGAACTTCTGACCTCCAGAACTGCTAAAATTATAAATGTGTGTTTTTAAGTCACATATTTTGTGGTAATGTATCACAACACCAAAAACTAATATACTGGATGCACATTATTTGAAAATATTTATCATAACAAGAAAAACTATGAATATGAAAGCAGAATAAAGACTGTAATTAAAATGGTGATGTTTTATGGGTTTTTGGAGACAGGGTCTCGTTATGTTGCTCAGGCTGGTCTCAAACTCTTGTGTTCAAGGGTTCCTGTTTTCTCAGCCTCCTGAGAAACTAGGACTATAGGAGCACAACACAGCACCCGGATCAAAATGGTACTGTTTTCTGCTGAGTCATTTTCTTCCTAATAACTCTGCTTCCAAGAACTCAATTTGCCATCAAAGATACATATTTAGAAATAATTTCCATTCTTGTTGCCCCCTGAATTTAACTGTCACAGATACTTTCTGAAATGGGAAACAATCAGGTTCAGTGTTAACCGAAATTTTTGTAAATGCTGAAACACTGGCTCAGGAGAGACATGAAAATCTATGATACCCAGAAAGTCCCAGAATGTCAAACAAAATGTGATTGAGAAAAAGCTATCTTTATAAACAAAATGTCTGTAGTTTATCATTGCTCATGAGACTTTAGCAAATGGTTTAAAATAGCAGTTATGAAATAATCAGGTAAATCTATAATGAAGTATGGCTTTCAAAAGTTTGTTACCTAACAGGGAATAATAAACCTGTAGCAGTCAACTGTATCTCATCCTGGTCAAAGAGCTATTTTCTAAAACACACCAGCAACTTTTTGTTCTGTTTTGTTTTTTGAGACAGGGTCTCTAAGAGCTGTCACCTTGGCTGAAGAGTGCAGTGGTACACTCATAGCTCACTGCAGCTTCGAACGCCTAGACTCAGGCAATCGTCCTGCCTCAACCTCCTAAGTAGGAATACAGGTGCTAATTTTATTCTTTTTTTTTTTTTTTTTTTTTTTTTGGCAGAGATGGGGGTCTCAAGCTAGGCACGGTAGCTCACGCCTATAATCCCAGCACTCTGGGAGGCTGAGACAGGAGGATCACTGGAACCCAGGAGTTCAAGACTAGCCTGTGCAACACAGGAAGACCCCATTTCTACAAATCATAAAAACATTAGCCAGGCTTCGTGGCACAGACACCTGTAGTCCCAGCTACTCTGGAGGCCTGACCCCTGGAGGTCAAGAATGCAGCAACGTGTTACTGTACCACCGCACTCCAGCCTGGACAAGACTCTGTCGGAAAAAAGTACCAAAAAACAAAATTGTGAACCAACATTCTATCCTCTTGTTTCTGCATACAGTGAAAAATGCATAGGCTTTAAAAAGAAATGCTACACTGGGCCGGGTGCGGTGGCTCACGCCTGTAATCCCAGCACTGTGGGAGGCCGAGGCGGGTGGATCACGAGGTCAGTCAAGAGATCGAGACCATCCTGGTCAACATGGTGAAACCCCGTCTCTACTAAAAATACAAAAAATTAGCTGGGCGTGGTGGCGCGTGCCTGTAATCCCAGCTACTCAGGAGGCTGAGGCAGGAGAATTGCCTGAACCCAGGAGGCGGAGGTTGCGGTGGGCCG